ACGGGGAATATAAAATGGAAGAGGATAGAGGCTCAGGGTTCAGTCAGCAATCGCCCAGTCTTGGTAGAGGTTAAGACTTCTTTAGTGGCTGGCTGTTTTGCTTTTCTGATCTTCAGCTTGAACTCCAATATCTGTCTCTGTGTTTTTATTATTCGTGCTAGACTTCCCCATGTTGAAAGCCAGGAACTGGCCTGGGCCTCAGTGGGTTTATGGTAGGAAGCTTATGCTGTCTCTTCAGCCTCACCTGAGGACTGAGACTGGGGCCTCACTCACCTCAGTTCCTCAACCTACAGCAGACACAGGCAAATGCTTGTTGAATAGGTCAAATACAGATCTTAGGAAAGATCAACAAATCCAAGTCACAGAACAAGAGAAGGCCACAAATAGAGACTGTCCTGTGAGAACTTCAAAGTGAGACTAAAATGACCAAAGTTTGGAGGAGGCAGTGTCCTGGGGAGAGAGATGCAGAGAGAGCTCTGGACACTGGCAGAGGATCCTCAAGCATCCAGTTGAGTACCCAGACACAAGAATGAGGAAGGAAGCCATCTAAAGGGGGCAGGGAGAAGTATGTGGAAAGACTGGAAAGAAGAAAGGTCAATATTCACACTACCCAAGAACAGATAGACTGGAAAACCCCACAATTCACAGGATGTTCATTACAATCCACAAAAGGATCTTACCTCAACAGCGGGAAGGAGGGAGCACTGTTGTGATCTTTTTTAGTCCTATAAACATTGCCACATTTACAAAAAAGCAAAATGATATATAGTCTATTAAAAAAAAAACCAGTTGGGACTGGAGAGATGAACCAGGAGTTAAGAGCACTGGCTGCTCTTCTGGAGGACCTGAGTTCAATTCCCAGCACCCACACGGTGGCTCACAACCATCTGTAATGAGATCTGGTGCCCTCTTCTGGCATAAAGTTGTATATGCAGATAGAGTATCCATATACATAAAATAAATCTTTAAAAAATATTGTATAAAATAAAAAAAAAAGAAATCAGTCAACTAAAACTTAGTCAAAGTGAGAACAGTCAGAATTAGTGCCAAAGCACAGCAACAGGGCTAGAGACACAGGTGTGAGACACAAAGACCCCAGACAATTAGACACACAGACCACAGTGTGAGGGACGGGAACTGCAGTGAGAGCGCTAAGGGCAAACGGTGTCACAGAGAGCAGTAACTAGGAAACAACCATAAGCAAAACAGAGAAGGCAGACAACAAAAATGGAGCAGAGCATCAGGCAGCCAAGACAGTTTCCAGTGCTCCTACACATCTCTGGAGTTTCCAAAAGAAATGAGGATGAGGACTACAAATATTTGAAGAACAGCACAAAATGTCCCACAATGGATGAAATTTATAATCCACAAATCCAAAAAGTTTAACACCACAAACATAAGACTCAACAAAGCATGTACAATCAAATAAAATGAAACCAACAATAAAGCAAAAAGTCTTCAAGACAACTGAGAAAGACATACTTGGGATGATGGTGGGGCAGACGCCACTGCAGCTCTGTTAGAATTCCACTCTCAGTACATTGAGATGCTCTGTGGGCAGAGGTAACCCGGCCAACTGAGTTTGAGCCCTGAACTACTGAACCAATTCCACAGAGGTGTTCTCTGGCCTCCACACAAGCCCTGTGGCATGTACATAACCTTCTCCCTCCCCCCTCATACACACACACACACACACACACACACACTTTTTTTAAAAAAAGGTATTTTCAATATCAAAAACACAAATGAATTAAAAGGATGGAGAAAGGACACACCATGCTAATACCAATCAAAAGACAAACCACAGTGTCTATATCAATACCAGACAAGAGTCAGTTCCAGAGCAAAGAGTAAGGGGAATGATTTCACGGGGTTGAGGCCGTAGCTTAGTGGTAGAGCACTTGCCTAGTAAGCACAAAGCACTGGGGCAGGGAAAAAAAAAAAAGCCAAAAACAGAAAAAAAATTTCACAATTAAAAGTCACCAAGATGGCAAACATGTGGGTAATACATGCATGCATGCATGCTGGCACAAACATAAAGGTACAAACACATAAACATGTGCACATACATACACAAAGTATAACAGAAAGCATCCTAAAATGGGTGTAAGCAAAAACATGGTCTATATGTCAAAGTCTTTTAGATGACACCAAAGAAGTTATATGGCAGATGGACACAGGCTCACCAGCCCACCAGTCAAAGGAGTATATTTCCCCAAGATCAGGAGGAGACAACAACGTCTACTCTGTGCTCAGTAGAGTTCCTGGCCAGAATATCAGGCAACAAATTGAAATTAAAGGCAAAAGATTGGAAAGAAGAGTAAAAACTGTCTTTACTGGCAGACAATATAATTATGCATGTAGAAAATCCTAGAGAATTTTTTTTTAAGTGTAAGGATCTGAATTTGATTACCAACGCCACCCCAGGGGCAAACACTAAAAATCAACTAGAATTACTAAGTTTAACAAGGTTGTAGAATACAATCTTGCTGAATATATAAATTTATATCAACTGCAAGTCATGAAACAGCACTTTGTGCTATTAGGTCAACACTACCAAAAGGACAACAGATGCTGGCAAAAACATGGAGAAACTGGAACGCTCACATTGCTGGTAGGAATACAAAATTGTGATGTCACTGTGAAATACCATTTGACAGTTCTTCAAAAGGTCAAGGAAAGTTACCCCATGACTCAGCAACTACACTCCTAGGTGTGTATGTTCATAACAATTAAAAGCTTGTATAAGAACATGCATAACAACATTATTCCTATCAGCTAGAAACAACCCAAACATTCAACTGATGAAATATACAAATAAAATGCATCTATACAGGCAATATTATTCAGTCTTGTAATGAATGAATCCTGATACATTCTACAATAAGAATGAACCTAGCGGGGCTGGAGAGATGACTCAGAGGTTGAGAACTGACTGCTGTTCCGGAGGTCCTGAGTTCAATTCCCAGAAACCACATGATGGCTCACACCCACATCTATAATGAGATCTGGTGCCCAGAACGCTATATACATAATAAATAAATTTAAGAAAAAAAGAAATAACCTAGCAAACACTGCTAATGAAAGAAGTCAGATAGAAGACTACTCAGCAAGTGAGCCCCTTTCCCTGAACCGCCAGAGCAGGAAAACTCCAACAGAGGAGCGGTGCTGAGAGGGCTGCTGTGGCTGACACTGAGATCCAGAATCCTTGGGTTGCTGGAAAACTGTCTTAAGAACATGTGATCCACTGAAAACCCAGGAATCTGATACTATAAAATGATGAGTGGATTTGTCACTTGAATTTTATCTTAATAAGAAAAATACTTAAAAATCAGATGCATTTCTGTATCTATATATACAGGTATATATAGATATGTGTTTATGCACACACACATATATACATACATACACACATATGTATGATGTATGTATGTATGTATTTTGTTGTTGAGTTTTTGTTTTGGTTTTTTCCTGAGACAGGGTTTCTCTGTCTGTCCTGGAGCTCACTCTGTAGACCAGGCTGGCCTCAAACTCACAGAGCTCCACCTGCCATGGCCTCTTGAGTGCTGGGGTTAAAGGTGTGCACCACCACTGCCTGTCACATTTCTGGATATTAACAATACTTAATCTCAAAATGAAATTATGCAAATGATTCTATTTACAATAGAATGCAAGAGAGAGGCTGAGTGGGTAAGACACTTGCCACCAAACCTGACAACTAAGTTTAATGCTTGCGATACCCATGGTGAAAGCAAGAAATGATTCCTCCAAGTTGTCTTCTGGTTACTATACTCATGGCCATGGTACATAGGCCTCATATAAATAAGTAAATGTAATTTTTTAAGTTTGTAAGAATAACATAAAAACTATCAGAAGTGAAAGAGTGCCGGGCGGTGGTGGTGCACGTCTTTAATCCCAGCACTCAGGAGGCAGAGGCAGGTGGATCTCTGTGAGTTTGAGACCAGCCTGGTCTACAAGAGTTAGTTCCGGGACAGGCACCAAAGCTACAGAGAAACCCTGTCTCGAAAAACCAAAAAAAAAAAAAAAAAAAAAAGTGAAAGAGTTAATTAAGCAAGACATAAACAGAAGACTCAATAGTGTCAATACAGTAATTCAACACAATTGTGACCAAAATCTATTTTATGGAAACAGATAAGATGGTTATAAAATCTACATGAAAATGGGGAAAACCAACCAACCAAAGACACATAAGTAGGGGGTGGAGAGATGGCTCAGTGGTTAAAGTCCTTGCTGCTCTTCCAGAGGACCTAGGTTTGATTCCTAGAACTGGCACGGTGGCTCACAGATCTGACGGCCTCTGAGAATACCAGGCATGCACATGGTGCACATACATACGGGCAAACACTCACTCATACACATAAAATAAAAAAATAAATCTTTCTTTTTCTCATTAAGTCACAAAGAACTGATAATATGCAAAGATAGGTAAACTTCAAAAACATTACACAAAAAGAAAGAGAACGGTATTAAAAAAGAAAGTACTTTAGCCGGGTGGTGGTGGCCCATGTCTGTAACCCCAGCATTCAGGAGAAAAGGGATAGGCAGAATTGTGGGTTAGAGGCCAGCCTAGTCTACAAACTGGCTGTCCAGCGCTGCTACACAGAGAAACCTGTCTGGGCCCAGGTTGGACTCTCGGCACCCAGACATGGCTCACAACCATCTTGAACTCCAGTCCCAGGACTGACTGTCTTCTTCTGTCTTCCATGAGCACTGCACACACGTAACACAAGCACACACTTGGTGCCTACACATTGGTGAAATACACATACATATAAACTGAGAATAAATTTTTAAAAATAAAGAGATGGCATTTTAAGATGTCTTAAATGGAATTTCAAAAAGACAAAACTATTGTGACATGAGGGCAGACCAAAGGATGCAGGGTGGGAGGTTGCAAAACCAGTGGAAAGGAATGTTGAGGACAACGCTGGGGTCTAAAATGACATCACGTGGTGGGCCGCACAGCTGTATATGTTTACTGTCACTCGCCACGCTGTAGCTGCAACAGGTAAACCACTCATCTTATTGGGTGTTAACTTCACAACAATAAAGCGAGCTGCACACCACTCACCATTGTAGCCTTCCAGAACAGAGTCAATAATAGGTCTTGCAGTTAAGTTATACACGTCAAGTTGTTTACTTTCTGGTCCAAAAACAGTATCAAAAGTAAATGTCTTTGGAGGTTCGTTGGAGGAATCGGTCTTATGGACGGTGATGGTTCCCCTCATCTCATCCACGCTGACGGCCTGTCTGTAGCACATTGATTTCTCTCTCTCATTGAGGGGCCGGCACCTAACAACAACCTTCACATTATCGCAGCTTTCTGGCTTCTCGGATTTATTGATCTGGAGGAGACAATGTTTACAAAGAGTAAGAAGAACATTCATTTTGCCCTAAATTTATAACTGAAAAAAGTTACTTTTCCACCTCAGCATCCTTAATGTGATCTCAGCACTCTGGGAGGCAGAGGCAGAGGCAAAGGCAGGTAGCTCTCAGTGAGTTTGAGATTGGCCTATATAATATAGTGAGACACTGTTTCAAAACAAACCCACAATGTATGAGGTCCTCTGCTCCCCCAGGACATCTAGTTTCATTTTCTAGAATGCATTTGTAAAATTTTTATCTTAGCAAAAATCCATACGTGACTTACCTTCTCTACAGAAGACAACAATAAGTTAAGGACAGAGAAGGCCAATGACACACAGGGGAAAATGTCATATGAATGTTTGTATCAAGTTTTGATTTTCAAAATTTTCCATGACTAAGGAACTAACTCGAAACAGTGCTATTACTGTCAATGTTTCTCTCCAGCTCAGCCTTCACCACCCTAGGCCAAGTCACGTCACCTGGGCCCTGCACTGCAGTCTCCTAATTGTGTCCCTGCACCTGATTAAACTGTCCTTCAGGACATCCTCACACACAAATCAAATCAGGACGCTCTCCAGCTCTCCAACGTAAAACTCTCCCACAGGTGACAAGCCCAAAATAAACAATGTCAAGGTCATCTAGAAAGGTCTCTGGGTTTCACAAAACACTCTGCCTCCCCTCAGCCGTGTCGCCCTAGGCTCCAGGGTCCTTTCCTGGAGTCCTTCTTCACTTAGATAATATCTATTCCTCCTTCAGTTTCCAGCTCAACAGCCACTTCCTTTGGGAATACTTCTCTCACTAGGTCAAACGCTTTTTTTTATATAATTTAAATAGACAGAGAGCACATCCTGCTTTTGAAGGATAGTTTTACTCTTGTTTGCCCCTTGATTGATGTCTGTCATTCTACCTTCACTTGAGTTCCAAACAAGCTGTCAAGGGGCTGAATTCAGTCCATAAAATTCTTTTATTTGGCTCGAAGGTTTTTTTTTTTGTTGTTGTTGTTGTTGTTGTTCTGATATAGGGTCTCATGAAGCACAGGGAAGCCTAGAACTCACTATAAAGCAAAGGATAGCCAGCCTTGGATTATTTTTGTGTTTGTTTTTCAAGACAGGGTATCTCTGTCTAACAGATCTGGCAGTCCTGGGATCGATTTGTAGACTAGCCTGGTCTCGAACTCAGAGACCAGCCTGCCTCTGCGGCTGAGTGCTGGGATTAAAGTCATCCGCCACCAATGACAAGCAGCAATTAAAGTTTTTTGAAAACAAAAGTAGATCTGATATCTGTAGTGATATTTCATTTGTATTTTAATAATTAAAGCTTACCTAAAGATCAAAGAGTAAAACAGCCCCACTGATCAGCCTTACAGACCAGGCAGTGATGGCACAAACTTTTTTTTTTTTTTTTTTTTAATTTTCGAGACAGGGTTTCTCCGTAGTTTTTGGTTCCTGTCCTGGAACTAACTCTTATAGACCAGGCTGGCCTCGAACTCACAGAGATCCGCCTGCCTCTGCCTCCCGAGTGCTAATGGCACAAACCTTTAATCCCAGTAGCCACACTAGTTTGCCACAGAAACCAGGTGGTAGTGGTGCACGCCTTTAATCCCAGAGCTAGAGAGGAATATAAAATGGGAGGAGACAGTTCTCAATCTCAGTCTCATTCTGAGGACTCCTGGAGCCAGGATTGCCATTTCGGACTGAGGTAGAGGTAAGAGCCAATCCTTGGCAGTTTTGCTTTTCTGACCTTCAGGTTGAACACCAATATCTGTCTCTGGGTTTTTATGAACAGTGCTACAGATATCTGTGGCCAGCATTCCTTTATGGCAACAGTTTCCAATTCACCAGAGTCTGGTGCTGCTCACTTCATTTAGTCAAACTGTCCTTTCTCTGTTAGTGTGTATGGTTTTCACTTCTGCCTCAAAAGGCAAGCTTCTCTTTCTCCGAAGTCAAAAACTTGGTAAACGAGGCTGGAGAGACGGCTCGGTGGTTAAGAGCACTTACTAGCTCTTGCAGAGGACCTGGGTTGGGTTTCCAGCACCCAGACAGTGGCTCTCCACTGCTTATAGCTACAGTTCCAAAACAGGCCCACGCCCTCTTCTGCCTTCCTCTGGCAGGTGGTGCACATACATGCATGCAGGCAAGCACTCATACATATAACATAAAATTAAATTTTTAAAAAATGCCTGGCAAGTCTTGCTCAACGAACCCTACCATCTACATGATTAGCATATACACGGGTGGTGCCCAGGATTTATTGAATGCATACTGTGAAAGCAATAAACAGAAACAAGCATTGAGCATTTTGTGCTGAATGTCAAACCTTGTCCTTCCACTGTCCTGATAAAAACCACAATAAGTTTGTGTGGGAACTAAGGGTCCAGACAATTTGAAGAGCCGTCAGAGGCCTCATAACCGATAAATACACTTCCACAGCTCAAGTCTTCTCCAATGAGACTGACAACCACCCCCATATTATGGCACGATAACAATCCGTGAAATTTTAGAAGGTAACCAAATCGCCACCGCATACTCACACAAAGACACCTACGGGTTACATTTTGCACCATAAGCTAAGGCGCCCCACCAGCGCAAGTCTGACAGCTTACACCCAGGGACCGAGAGTGGACTCGGGTCGCGGGCATCCGCACGACCCTCGCGGCCGCGCGCAACCACCAAGCCCCGGCAGCCGCGCGGCGCTTTTCTGTCAGGCAGCGCGGGCCCAACGGGATGCAGCGCGCAGCGGGGCAACAGGACGGGTCCCAGGGGAGACCCGTGCGCGCAGGACCCCGGCCACGCCACCCTTCCCTGCCCAGGCCTCGCGGCCCCGCCGCCCTGCCCCGCCCGCCCGCCGCGCGCTTCTATGGCAACGGCCGCGCCCCCGAGCAGGGCCGCCACGATGAGTGGGAACCCCAGCGGCCGAGTGGCCGTCCTCACCGGCATGGTGGCCGCTTCCCGTGCTCCGCCAACGTCCCCGCTCGGGATGCAGCCCAACAACACCGGGTTTGCGGGCGAGGCTCGCCTCGGGCGACCGAAACACCTTGGTGCTCTAGAGACTGCGGCTCACTCAGCGACAGAGGGCAGTGCGCAGGCGCACTCTGAGCTCGCCCCGCCCAATCTCGGGTGCCCTCGGCTTCTTAAAGTACGCGTGCGCAGGACTTTCGCGTCTACCTCTACGGACGCCAGACTGAGGCGGCGCCTGCGCAGCTGTGCCGTTCCTCTGGGATGCAAAGCTGGGTCCTGCTGAAGCAGTGGGGACACCTGGCCAGCTGAGATCGCGAGGGCCTTCTGGCGCTGGCACTATCTCAAATAGTAAAAGTTACAGGAGAGCGCCGGTGGTGGTGCACACTTTTAACCCCAACACTTGGGAACCAGAGACAGGCGCATCTCAGTGAGTTTGAGGCCAGCCTTGTCTACAAGAGCGAGTTCCAGGACAGGCTCCCAAGCTATAGAGAAACCCTGTCTCGAAAAACAAACAACAAAATGTTCCTCAATACATCACACAATTGGCCATGAATGTTAGTAAAATGTTCTGTATTTCTCAAAGATGCTGAGTAGGAAAGACCCATTTCTTAGGATAATGTAGGTCATCGTTGCACAGATATTGCTAATAAATGATAATCCCTTATCATTTCATTGAAGTTTTATATTTCTGTGAGTGTGTGCTCCAACACTCATATGCCATGACTCAGACGTGTGGAGATCAGAAGACAGTTTTCAAGAGTTGGTTTCTTCTTCCAGTGTGTGGCTCTCACCAATGGAACTAAAGTCAGGTTTAGTGGCAAGCGCCTCCACCCACTGACCAATTGAGCTGGCCCTGAAGTTTTTAAGAGATGCCTCTATTATAAACTAATCCAGTTTCCTAGTTATGCCTCTTTTACCTTGTATAATCCTGCATTCAAATGCACGTGATATCACATCAAACTACACTGAGATATAGAGGCCACTGTAAGTAGCTCGAAGCTAGAGGCTTTAGATATATTTTTTCTTTGTGTCCCATCTCGGAAATGCTAGTAAAGTGTTTGCTGAAAGAGTGAAACTAATCTATCTTGCGCGCATTGCTTTGCATTCAAATACCTTCTACCAATGTAAACGGTTTGTAGTTGTATAAAATCAAATTATTAATACTACACAAAAGTAAAAAATAAAAGTGCCCATCGTACATTGTGTCCCACATGGTGAGCAAAAGATCTTTCATAATGACCTTGTTTGAAGATTTATTTCATGTACCCCACCGCAGAAAGGGAGCTCCTTAGGGGCTAGCCGAGATTCTCACCGGTCTTGCCACAGCCTAGCACAGAACCTGGCCCAGAAAAAGCAATCGTGTGCCCCTTCCAGCCCAGCACCAGTCCACTTGGGTGTGTCACAGATATCCTATCGTGTCAAAGGTCAAATCCCATTCCCCAGACCAGTGTGCCTCCCTCCTACACTGTCCCTGTCACACACACGAGGCTCACCTTAGACTTCCCTCATCTCAACAGACAGAGGCGGAATTCCAGCAATTGCTCTGCTCAGTCCCCAGTCTCCTTCCCCCACCCCGCATCAATCCTCACGCGCTGCCTACTGAGGATCTGCCATTAAGTAAAACCAGGATGTGGTTCTTACCATCATCATCACTAGGATCTCTCACGTGTATTACTACACTCAGAGCCTGTTTCTATAGCATCCTTGAGGGATAACAGGAGTAGCTTGGTTGATAGAGTCCTTGCCTAGCGTGCTTGAACCCCTGGGCTCCATTCTCAGCAACTCATAAACCTGGTACACACAGGTGAAGGCAGGAGAATCAGACATTCAAAATCATCCCCAGCTCCATGTTGAGTCTGAGACAACCTGAGATCCATGAGACAGGTGTGGTAATGCCAGCACTCAGGAGGCAGAGACACAAAGATACCTGTGAGCTCAAGGGCAGCCTGGTCTACATAGTGAGTGTCAGGCCAGAATTACACAGTAAGACCCTGTCTCAAAAACAAAAAGCAATAAGGCAGAGGAGCAGGAGAAAAAGCAGAACAGGGAAAAGACTCAATCACCCACAGATTGGGGCCTGGGAGGACCCTGGATCCAGTCTGCCACTGGATATGCAGAAAGGACTGTATTTCCAGCACAGAGCCTACAGGGATGCTGTTAAAACATGAATAGATCTTGCCTTTTTCTGCTCCAAAACATCCTTTGATTTTCCATCTCAGAGTAAAAGCCACAGCCAACCCTCTGCCTCTCCAATTCTTCCTCTTCTTTTGTCTGAGTCAGCCCCAGTTGGCCTCCTTGTTTCATCCACATCTCATATACAATTTCATCTTTGCAGACAATGGTTATCTTAGTAGGAACTAATGGACATAACTATAAAGAATTGTAGCTCATGCATGCAATCGCAGTATTCAGGAGGCAGAAGCAAGAGGATCATCTATGAGTTCGAGAATGATCCCGGGCTCTAGAATGAGACTCTATCTCAAGCAAACCAACTTGATGCACTGAACTGTTTTTTCCGTTTAATCATGTAGCATTTTTTAGCATTCGTTTTATGAATATGAGCATTTTGTTCCTGTGTGTATGTGTCTTGGGGTTTTCTATTGCTGTGAAGAGACACCGTGACCATGGCAACTCTTATAAAAGAGAACATTTAACGGAGGTGGCTCACTTGCAGTTTCAGAGGTTTACTCCAGAATCATCAGGATGCTGGGGAGCATGGCAGCCTGCAGGCAGACGTGGTGCTGGAGCTGAGTTGAGAGTCCTCCATCTTGACTCAGAGGCAAAAGGAAGTTGACTGATTGCCACACTGAGGGAAGCTTGAGAAAAAGACCTCAAAGCCCACCCCTACAGTGACACATCTCCAACGAAAAAGGTGTGCCCTCCACCCTCAAGGTCTGGATTAAAGGCTTGTGTCCTCCAGTCTCCTCCAACAAGCCCACATCTCCCAATAGTGCCACTCTCTATGAGTTTATGAGGGCCCAATACAAACTACCATGTATTTGCACATGCCTGGTGACCTTGGAGGTCAGAAGAGGGCATCAGACCCCCTGGGACTGGGGTTACAGACAGTTGTCAGCTACCATGTAGGTGCTGGGACCCAAACCCAGTGCTCTTGAAAGAGCAACCAGGGCTGTTAACCTCTAAGCCATCTCTCCCCAACTCTTTCTTTTAGAAATCACTTGCTGTGAGTGGACATGATGAGTTAGCACATAGAGACGCTGACCACCATGTCTGACCATCTGAGTTTGATCCTTAGGACTGCACCGTGGAAGGAAAGAACTGACTCCCGCAAGTTGTCCTCTGACCTCCATGTGCACATAGTGGCCCACGCTAGCACACACAAGTGCGCACACACACATACATGAATAAATGTATGTATGTAATAAAAACACATTTTTCTTAGTTGTTTGTTGTTTTGTTTTTGAGAAAGGGTCTCATTATGTAACTCTGACTGTCTTGGAACTCACTATGTAAACCAGGTTGGACAAGAAATGACAGAGATTCACCTGCCTCTGCCTCCTGTGTGCTGTGATTAAAACTGTGTGTCTACCCCCAACTCTGAAACTATATTTAAAAAAAAAAAACATCTGGGACCTGTGAAAGGTGGTACCTCTATCTCTGGGGAGGTAGATACGGTAGGCATATTTCTGTGAGTTGGAGACCACCTGGTCTACATATCAAGTTCCAGGACAATCAGGGCTATGTAGAGAAACCCTGTCTTTTTTTTTAATATTTATTTATTTATTATGTATACAATAGTCTGTCTGTGTGTATGTCTGCAGGCCAGAAGAGGGCACCAGATCTCATTACAGATGGTTGTGAGCTACCATGTGGTTTCCGGGAATTGAACTCAGGACCTTTGGAAGAGCAGGCAATGCTCTTAACCACTGAGCCATCTCTCCAGCCCCGAGAAACCCTTTAAAAACAAAACAAAACAAAACAAAACAAATGATTTGAGCTGAGCGATGGTGGTGCACGCCTTTAAACCCAGCACTCGGAAGGCAGAGGTAGGCGGATCTCTGTGAGTGCAAGTCTATCCTGGTCTACAAAGCAAGTTCCAGGATAGGCTCCAAAGCTACACAGAGAAACCCTGTCTCAGAAAACCAAATATGCATATTAAATTTGATCCGCACATTAACCTTTTGAAATAAGTAGTAATTGTTGCCCTTATTCTATAAATAAAGAAAACTCTTTCAGGATCAGGTACACTAAGGATCAAGTCCAGATATAAACCCAGGCAGGCCAGCAAGCTCTTCCCCTAGATGTCCACCTGACTCAGAAAAATCTTCTCAGTGAGTCCTAACATCATCCTAGTTAAAATGTCCCCAGACCCAGCCCTGCATGTCTCCTCTCCCTACTTTATAAATCCCTATAGTTATCCGATAGTCAATATATATGCTTTATTCATACAAGTCTCAAAATTACATTTATTTATTTTGGTGGGAGCAGGGAGGCCAGGGCACCACCGTGCACATGTCGAAGTCAGAGGACCCCTTGGGGAGCTCAATTCTCTTCTCCCATGCAGAGCCTGGAGATCCAATTCAGGCCATTATGCCAGACGTCATGGCCCTTGCCCACTGAGCAATCCTGCTGATCCTACGTACAAACTTCATTAAGATATTATCAATACCTTGCACCATCCAATTCATTGGTTTAAATGGCACAGTTTATTGGGTTTTCTAGCGTGAGTGGAAGGGCATGACTATACCCACAATCAACTTATAATATTTTCTTCACCCTAAAAAGACATACTGTGCTTATAGGAGTCATTTATGCCCTGCTTCCTTCATGGCTCATGTTCTCCCAGTACCCTGAGTCCTAGACAATCATTTTCTTCTCTGTCTTTATTGTGGATAGTTCATACACATGGAATTACATCATGTGTGTCTTTTGTGAATGATTTCTTCCACTTTTTTTTAAAAGCATGATTGATGTTAGAATCTTTGCTTGCCTGTGTGTATGTATGTGCACCGTGTGAGTGCACGGTGCTCACGGAGGCCAGAATAGGGAAACAAAACAAAATAATCCAAAGCATTGCCAACTCCAAAGTGAGGATGTAGCTCAGTTGGGAGAGGGCTTGCCTAGCATGCAAGAGACCCTGGGTTCATTCATAGCA